GAAGATTTGTGAAATTGTTTTTGCAAGCATTATGGGAACATTAAGCCGACTCAGGATGTTTATTTTTTGTGTGTTTTTGCATGTGCTTGCTTGAAAAAAGGTTTTTGAGATACAGATAAACTCTTTGATATATATAAATATATATATTTTTTATTTTCCTTGACTTGACTTTCATGTTGGGCCCAACTTTCTGTTTTTTGTTATTTTTGTTTTTTTAATAAAAATATATTTTTACCCAGTGCTCTTGACCATCTAAAATACCAATCTAATAGAAGGTGGGCTCTAACTTAACCTCCTCAGCAAAGGACAAAGACACCTTAAATACCCAGTAATGCACCAGCAAGGAAGAATACATTGAAATAAAGTGGCACGGTTTTCAGCCTATAAATGTACATTCCTCTAACTAGAATATGCATTTACAGAAACAATAGCCAATTTAATGTGCCCAGCGTACCAAGAGGGTATTGGAAAACACCAAAGCACTACCTGAAGGGAAGTCTCCTTTATCTGTGGGATAAGATGGATCAGGCGTATAGTGTATGTGGAACCATTACTTTAGTATTTGCTGCTGGGCACTGTAGGATGCTTACTTGTTGGGCACGGAGCTCTGTTCTCTTGTTCTCTTTTACTGTATTTTATTATGAAATAACTGAGCCAAACTGCTCTGCAACAGCAGTTGTGCAATATTGACAAAGGAGAAGTGAAAAAGGAAGTGGCTTCAGCGGCATGTGGCACCTGATCACCACTCTATCCCCATCTCCCAACACACATGTACACACACACACCAACTCATCATGCATTGTGCAACTTTTATTATGTCAGCAAAGGCCTGAATCTGTGGAAAAGTAACATGGGAGTCCCCGCTAACAGCAGATTAGGCATTTGGAGATTCCTTTATTTTTTTCTTCCTCTTTTCATCTTTTAGATTTTCTGACAGATAACTTGTATTTACATCATGTTATTTTGTGAGTGCTCATTCATTTACATGTTCCCCGTTGAGCTTCTCTACGATGCCATCATTTTTGTTAGTTTTGTGAGAATTAAAATATGACTCATTTAAATGAAAGCTCAAGATCATTTCAGTGGTAAAAGAATTTTCCTTTAGACTCTACAGTGAGGATTTGAATGGGCCCCACTGGTAAGGCAGTAGTTTATTATTTTAGGACACAAATCACAAGGGTAACAGTGTGTGTCTCCTCTATCCCAACTCCCTTCTCCCTCTAACTAACAAGTTCACTCTCTTGTGATCAAAGGGGGCCTCAAGATTTATCACTTTAATTTGGCACCAAAAATGGCTAATGGAGGCTGTTACCAAGTGGAGGGGCCCCCCGTTAGCACTCAGCTGGCTAACTAGAGTGACGGTCATCTGGCTGGGTGGCTGCCTGGCGGTGTGTACCCTGGATTCTTGTGCTTCCACTTTTCCACCCCCTTTGCCCTACATTGACCTCGCACAAGTCCATTCTCCTTGAAGCAAGGCACCATGCAGGCATTTCCTGACAATTTATGTCCTTGTGCCACAAGCAGGGGCATGCCCTGCACTAAAATCCTATCCCTGGCCCATTTAGCACACGCCTCTTGGCCTCCCAGAAGAGTGGTTATAGTGCTGCACCACTGTCTCTCAGGCGAAATCGTTACTTACTGGTTACTATGCAAGTGTAAAGCTGAGTACCTTGCAGACATCAGTGAACACCAAATTTCACATTTCCTATGAAATAACAGGTTTTACAGTAGATCTACAGGAACATGCAGCAGCACAGTTACACATACTCGCATCTGGAAGCTGCAGCGCACAATCACACTTTGGTCTGATGGCATCTGAGAAGCCCATTGGCCGTTGAGGGGCACCTGGTAATGAATGTAGGGAGTTTGTAAACTGAAACTGTGCCGCTTACTTACTTATCTTACTTCTTAGATGAGGGGAATTAATTTAGCCTCGTTGCTACCTGGAAGAAAATCCACGTTTAAAACCTAAGACCTCAATATGTAATGTATGCATGTGGTGGACAGGCTTCTATATCTAATGTAAAAATGTGAATGTGTATTTACTTTGAGCTCTGTTTAGACTCTCAACAGCATATGATAGAAATGGAGTCAGAAGTTGCCTTCATAAAATTGTCTCAGTTGCTCGCTGCAAGGGCAATCGATGAGCTCAAATCAATAGAGGAAAAAGTCCAAGGAAGGTTAACAGAGCAACCGCAGCCTGTAAAAATAATAATTACAGTTTCCATGATAATGAATCAGAAGTTAAAGAAGCAAAAGAGGCACTATCCAATTAATGCAAATCAGGGACATCAGTGGGGGTGTTTGGGGGGGTGGGGAGTGTTCTGCCTACACCTCCACTACATGTCTTATTCCTCAAAGGTTAAGTGGATGCTTTTGCCGGCTAATTCGGCCATATGCTCATCTGTGCATTCGACACCAGCGCACCATACGCTCAAACAGCAAATTATGCCTCTTGAATATGCAGCCAATTAAAGAAGACATTGCTCCGCGGCTCACTCTCTTTAGTCACAAGTAGTTAAATGGAAATATATCTTGTGATGCTGCAGATGAATGCAGGATATGCTAGCGTTTATAGGTCGCATTACAGTGGCTTATGATCTTGTCACGCTCAGTGTACCATCTTTTGCATAACTTGTTGCATAAGCATGTTCTGGCAGGCACACTCTGTCGTGTACGGTCCGTGTTATTTCTCCTTTTTTTAGGGTTCATTACAGTACAGGCCGTTCCCTAATGCCACTGTGGTTGCAAAACCACATAAGCCATCTTTCCCTGACTTTTTTTTCTGTCATCTAAGAATTGGCTTCCTGTTTTCATTGTGTTCTCTTTCTCTCTCTCTCTCTCTCTCTGGAGGTGTCGTAACCCAGGAGGCTGTGCCAAGAACAAACCAAGGTCTAGTCAGTAGAGATTGCTCTGTGCTTGCACTGGAAACAGGCACACACCCACACACACGTAGAGTCATTTTGTACACACAACATCCAGATGTTAAACTGCGTGTGTGTGCATGTGTGTGCTGGTGAAAAGTGTGTTGCATGTATGGTGCTCATTGCCAAGCAATAAAAATTCATTTGCTGGAGCCTGATCTGATTTGCCCTTCAACAAAACACTGGATGTGTACATGCCAGCTTCCTGTTTTTTTTTTTTCTTTCCTTTTTTTTTTTAAAGTTGTTGTAAAAGGTTGTACACATTCACAAAGTGTTGGTGAACATGATAATTTAGACTACGGCTCAAGGGCTACTTATTTGATCTACTTGAATTAACAGCACGGAGCAACAAAAGTGCAAGAGCACATGACAACAACTTTATGATTTTGAGTCAATAGCCTACTTCAAGTTAATGGCAGGTGTGTCTACTAAGCCAATGCGATTTGTATGTGTGTGCACAAATACTGTTGATACGTAAGTTAGCTTATACGATAATTGATGTACGACAGTTACAGTGACAGTTTCATCAATGTGTTAAACCTAAACATGGACTGTTAGCCATGTTTCTAATGTAATGTAATGGCAGGGATAGCTCAGTAGGTAGAGTGGTGGCCCCATGATTGGAATGTCGGGGATTGAATCCCCTGAACAGCTACCCTGGGGTACCCCTGAGCAAGGTACCGTCCCCCCACACTGCTCCCCGGGTGCTAGATTTGTGGCTGCCCACTGCTTCACTGAGTGAGGTTAAATGCAGAGAGAAATTTCCCCGTGGGGATCAATAAAGTATACATAAATATGCTAAAAAAAAAAGAAAAAAAAAAGACTGACCTCAAAAGAAAAACAACAATAGTAGCTGATTTTTCAAAAGGTTAAAATGATTGTCATCTCTGTCAGTGACCTCACACATGGAATGTCCATCTTTTTCAGAAAGGCCCCTGGGTGGGATTTGTAACCAGGAAAATTTAGAGTAAGCTTGTTACAGATGGGAGAGTTTGCCTTTTGAACATATGGCTGTGAAAGGCTCTATTTCACAAGAACCATTATGTTTCTCTAACCCTACTCAAACCGTATGATCCAGCCACCACCTCACCTCTCTCCTCCAAATATGGGTTCTGTCAGTGTTTTTGCTGCTTTGGTACAGGACGCTAGTGTTGCAGTTTCGACAATCGCTGCCAATCGACTTAATTTGTTGCTTAGAAATGAGGATGTGTTGGTCACAGATGCTGGGCTCGCTTTCTTTTCTTTTTTTCTTTTAGCGTTTGAATTTTGGGGGGAAATTAGACTACATTAGTCAGAAAAGGATATGACACCTTCTGTTGCATATCCATTAAATTTGGACCAGAAGCTGACCATTGTGAAAGTGGATAGATTGACTCATCAAGTTATAGCGCTAATTGTACTGCAGGCTTAATTATATTGTACAATCCGCTCATTAATCAATCAGATGTGGAAAAAATATGAATCTAAATTCTGAAAAAAAAAGACAGGCTGAAATAATGACAGTCAGGTCTTTATAGAATAATGTGGAAAAAAACATTATCAGTCATTTTTCAGCATCTATAGCCAAATCATATAGATATCATTTGTAACCTGAAAATGAAACTAAGTAATTCTCTCACAGGATATGCATCAAGGTGAATGTAATTAAAATGAGTTTAAACCAATATTCATTCATTCAAGTCCTCTCCACTTCCTCAGTAAACTTAAAACCTGATTATTTGAGCCTCACCAATGCTTTCTCAGGCCAGTTATTAATGTTTTACTAGTTGAAATACCTTTTATTAGTATATTAGCAAATATATGGTCAAACATAAATTGGAAATCTTTTAATTAATTACTGGAATAAAGTGCTCCCTGGTGGACAAAACAAAGCTTTTACATTGCTGACATATCTTAATGTGTTTAAGTGTAAAGCAACAAAAAAATATAAGAGTAAATAAACAAGTCAGAGTTTTGAGTGAAATGTATTTCTTTAATTTGTCTCATCTGAGCTTTAACCCTGTTTTCCCCTCACCAGTTCATATACATATTTTTTCATTGTGTGTAATAAGCATCCACTTTCTGTCTCTTGTCCAGCTGGTGAGAAGGCCATAGTTTGTGACCAGTGTGGCGCCCAGTTCCAGACAGAAGAATCCCTGGAGGCTCACCGGCAGATCCACACCGGTATGAACGCACACACGCAGACATGTCATCATGACTGTGCACATAAACAGAAAGATTATGAGCTTCTCTGCTTGATTTGTGTCCTGAAAGCTCCAGCTGATTGTGTTCTCCATGGTAATTCATGGAGCAGGTTGTACGTACGGTGCGTTAAACATATTTTAGGGAGTGAAATTCTTTTTAAATGGCAAGGGAAGAAGGAAGTCAAGTAATCAGATCAAATTTTTAAAAAATGAGAAAAACTGTGATCACGTTGAATTTTCTGATCCTCGTGATTCACACTCCCAGTCTATTTATTGTGTATTTTCACAAATCTGCATGCATGTCATGGTGAGGTGTGTTTAGATGCTCATTCAACCTTCACAGGTAAAAACAGTCTTTTTCTAGATGATCATTTTTTAGCACAGTCTCAGAAATAATCCCTTTCTATACTAAGACGCATGTAAGGGAACATCACATTTACACATTTGTCATGTGTGTGTAAACATGAAGCAGAGGGTTGTTGGAAGATACTGCCTAGGTAGAACAGCAGTGGTTAAAAGAAAAAAGGCCATAATAAGGTGGAATTGTTTCTGAGAAACTATTTCAACTGTTTCAAACCAAAAAGCATTCATGTGGACGAACTCTCTTCCAGCCATCTCTGGCTAACTGGAGCCATGGATTGAGAGATAGGATAGTTCACATCAGCTTGGATTAGTCCTACTTGCCCTAAATCAAGACAGACCCAACAGTAATCAACAAACCGCGAAAACTTGGCAGGCCAAAGTTGTTTATCAGTGCTCAGCTATGAAGATGGCAAGACGGGGATGATGTAGGTGCCAAGATGTAAATGGGAAGAAGTAAATCCCCCTTCAGCAGATGTGTGATGGCCCAAGATGGTTTTACTGCTAGTGATGAACTCTTTAATCTGGAAGCTGGATTGTCTCGAATTGTTTTGGACATGATGCGCCTTGAGCATCATGCAGCGTGCATCGTGCTCGGATGAATGTGAGGTCTTTGTTTGTTTATTTATACCTTTTTTTTTTAAATTTCATGGTTTTTTTTGTCCAGATATTCAAAACATTTTAGAAAACCACTCCAGGTCCATAATAATTAGACCCCATCCTCGAGTGCCTCACAGCTGCTAATTTGAGGGTTGTTGGAAAATATTGGCGCATAATATTACTCACAACGGATATGAAGGACTAATTTGCAGCTAAAAACAAAAAAAAAAAGCAAGGTGGTGCAAAGAGGTTAGCTTTGACTCATGTCTGTCAGTATATGCTTCATAACTTAGAAAGCAGTACTTAAATTGTTTCTGATTATTTTACACTCAGCCTTTATTAGATTTAAACCCTGTGAATAAGTGTGCACTTTGTGTTAAATATGGTGTAGCTGTGTGTTGTGGCATGTTGTCCACATAAATGTCAACAGCAGGTTTTATGCCAAAGCAGGAATTTGTCTGTGATAATTGAGTTGTAAGAGGACATTATATGCTAAGGGCATTGTTACAGGAAAACTCATGAAGTGCAAAAATGAAAAAATGTCCATTGGCTGCAGTTTCTCTGAATGTGCTCAGTGGATTTTATGGCAATCTGCTCAGCAGATTTTGCTGTCTTTTCTACATGTAGACACTTTGGCCTAATGGGTGCATTGAATGAAAGGGGAAGGGATTACCAATAAACCAATCAACCTGACCATGTCAGCCTTTCTCAGATTTGTCAAACAAAAGGAAATGAGAGACAAGAGAGCTGCTAGCACACTGAGACCAGAAGCGGATCTCAAAAATAGCCACACTTTATCATTATCATCTTGTGTTTTGTCCTTCATCTGAAGCCGTGACCCCCAAGCTCCCAGTAGAAGCTCCCTTCGAGTGGCTCTACTTTTTCTTTGCTCTGCCACACACACACATGCAGGGACCTCCTCAACATTTGACAGGGGAAGGTGGGGCAGTGTAGTCAGGAATTGGTGGCGGTGGGGAGAACTACTCCTAAGGGGCATGCCCTCAGCCAATCAGCCCATTGGAAGTAAAGAAGGGTTAAACGAGGCTAATGATTCAACAGCCATAACAGCGGAAAGGAGCACTCTAAATATAGGCATTCCAGTCTGGAACGAATGGAAGGGGTTGCGGGGGGGCAGCCGCAGCTCGAGCCAGACGTGTCTTCCAGCCAGACAACTGGAGCAGCAGCACCAGTAATAGTATAGTAATCATCCATGTGCTGGACCTCTGCGCGGAATAAGAGTGTGGAAAATCGGCTCTGGTGAAATGATGAGCCGGTTTAACTGCACCCTCTGATTTTCAGTTTCACTTTCTCTTTCCTTATACTCTGGTAGCCAGTATACGCTTACATTATGGAACACACTGCACTGAATTTGAACACCTGACCTTTGACATCCCTGTTCTAAAGCAACCCCCCCCCCTTCTTTTTTTTAGCACGAATTTCTATGAGTCTTGTCAATGCAAATGACTTATATCTGCATTTGACATCAGACTCAGTCAAGAATAAATTAGTTAACTCAGAAATGAAAAAAATAATAATAATTTAGTCTAAATGGGATTTGGGCACAGAAAGGTTAATTGTAGTTCCCTGTTGTAATTTCTACTACATATGTACATTGTTTCCTTATGTTTCTAGTGTGATTGCTGATTTCATATGCATATATTGACATTCAAAGGTTAATTAGTCATGTCCAGGTTGACAGCGTTTAGCAAGTTGGTCCACAGTGACAGAATGAGAATGGCTGTAAAAAAGTGTTTTCTCTGACTTGTATTACAAGAGTTCTTCTTGTATTCAGGAGAGCTCTATATATATCCAGTTTTAAAAGTTCCTAGAATAGGCAAGAATACATGAGATGCTACAGTACAGAGCTGGAGCCCCAAAATGTAACATTCATAAGGTACTCATCAGACAAGCAGCAGCTACAACCTGATAGAAGTCAGTAACATCTTTAAGCTTTTCTTTTAACTGTTTGGAAATGATCAATCAGGATACATACCAGAATGCTATACTTTTATGGCTTGCCTGTAAGATATGCTAAAGAATTTTTTTTTCTTCAGACAATTTAAAAATGTATTATTTTATTAATTTAGTTCTGTTAACGTCCTTCAGCCCTAGAATTTTGGTGTGTTAGGCTTTATATTAAGTGAAAAAGGCTCTGACTCTCTGAATGCTGTGCTGCAATGGTTTGAGATGCTGATTGTTGTAATTCAATGCTAATTTTAAACGAGAAGAAAAGAAAAGAAAAAGCAAATCAGTTTGAACTTGAAAGCCAATGTGGAGAAATTTATACAAAAATCCGTGTACAGTAGCCAAGACACAAAATATTAGAGAGTGCATGTGGTGGAAGCAGGGGGTTACTGAGGGCCATCAAAGCTAGTTTTGATCTCTGCCTGCCTCTTGGCAGTGCTTCAGCCCTTGGCTAATGTTCTCTGATGACAATATTTGGCCTCTGAAACTGTGGCTTTTTCTTGCTGCTTTGAATGGGAACCATTGTGGCATCTCTTCTGCTGGCCTGATCAGCTGCAGTCTGACTCAACCTCTGTCTCTTTCTCACTTTGTCTGTCCATGCCTTATTAAACAGCTGCCCATGCGCACACCTCTATCCTTACTCAAGTCTTATGTGACCCTAAATTTGGCAAGTCATCATCCAAAACCATGTGACAGTTTGGAGGCTGCTAAAGCATTCCTGAAGTTGTCAACATTGGCAAGCTTTTTTGCATGTGTGTGTAAGTGGGTGTGGGGGCTGGATGCCAGGGGATGTAGCATCAAAACATCATGTGGTTGAACTTGTGCAAATCCACATGTACAGATACAAAACACAAACTATGGCCTGCTTGGCTGTGTTGTGAAATACACGCACATTCACACAAATCCAGGAATGTCAGTGTTCAGGAGATGAATCCACTTGTGAGTTGTATTACGTCCACTGATGGCTAATTTTTGTCCCCAAACTGGATGCTATTGCATCAAAGTCGGTCTCTTTCGAAACTGGGACTCGCTTCATGGCATTTGTAGGCAAAGAACATCATCTGTCGGGCTTTCATGGAACTCTTTCTTTAACAAAAAACCCCTGCTGCCATTTATTTTGGTAATCCACTGACAGGTGTTATGCAGCATATGGAAACGCAAATCTTTCACGAGTCAAAATGTTGCGATGTTAACCAGCTTCCAAGCAAACGTAACATATAGACACACTTTTTTATGTTGAAAACTTTTATCAGGTGGCTGTCAGGTGATTGAAAGGAAGCAGGTAGCAACATGATGTGGAGCAATCACAAACCCCTATTTTTAAGCTGTGTTTGGCAGGTAGGAATTATTTTTAAAAAACCCACAAATCTCAATGACTCATTCATTTAATCAAAGTTTCTAAATAACACTTTTTGTATAAACTTTGTTATTCATATTGCTCCATGGGTGACTGACATATTAAGACAGTTCAGACATAAGCAGTAAATCTGTTTCAGACATCAGTAGTGACTGCTACAGCAGTAGCAGTTGCTGCACTGCTAATTTTAACCTTGAAAAATGTCAAGCAAAGATTTCATAATATCTAGCTGGCATTTTCATATTTCTTACAAAATGTTTATTCTTTTTTTTTAATGTGGTCAGGCTGTTGTGCAAGCAAATTTGAAACCATGTAGGTAGCCTCCAAAATGTTAAAAAGAAAACCATATAGAGATTTCACTTGGTGTTATGCCAGACTGTAGCCTACTCAGTCAGTATTGTTTCTTTCAGAGACTTATTTTTCTTCACAATGCAAATTAACATTACAAGCAGGTGCATCCTCTTTTCCACTGGAAACATATACAGGCGTAGAGGGCAGCTTATTTTATTTCATGTAAAACAATTATGTCAATGTCAGCATGAGCTTCAAATTTTGCTGTTCCACTGGTAATGTGGTTTTTCGAATATCGCAGGCTGTGCCAAAAACATTTGGCTACAATCAGCCAGTGTATCTGGCAGAAAAGCTGTAGCGGTCCATCAGTGCTGTATACAGTATCATTTCCTCTTTGTGATCAGCTG